GTTTGATCAGTTTTCTCCTGTTTTTGTTAGGCAGGGAGGAAAGTGATTGCCGTTTGGTTTAGTTCTTTTGAGTAGGTAAGTTGTGTTTATTCCTGAGATAGGTTACTTTTTGTTTGTTGTTTTGGCCTTGGGTTCACCCTGAAGTTATGATATGCTCCCTTCCTTCGTTTAACTGCACTTATTGTAAATAAATCACTGTCACAAAATATTAAGTGACGTGCTGCTTGGGGTTGGACGGGGATGGATCACCCTTTATGTTGTGGTCTGGCCGCGCCTAGACGGGCCATAACAGTGTCTATGGAGGTTTTCAGAGGTAAGAAGAGGTGTATTATGTCTGTTTCTTGGGCCTCTTGAATAGACCTGAAACAACCTGGTGCTAGGGTCCCTGGGTCGTTGACCCAGTGTTTTGTGTTTTTGGTTCTTTGATTTTGTTATTTCATTATATTCTAGCTTTGCTTTATGGGTTTTAGGATTATTCTTAGTTTAGGTTCTCTGGGTGGGGTTTGGTTAAAGTTTTAGTGTTCTGGTTTTCTGTCTGTGTTCCATGTTACTGTCTCCCCTGTCTGCAGTATCCCCACGTCCAGTCAGTGTCTGTGTCTGCCCTGGTCCCACGTCTCTGTTCCCTTTGTTATAGTGCCTGCCTGTGAGTCTGTGTAATGTTTCCTGTTTTACTTTGAAAGTCCATGTCTGATGTTAATGTGTCTGGTTTTGCTTCCCCTTGTCTCGTTAGGCCTGATTTGCCCCAGCTGTGTTTCCCTCCTGTTACCCATTCCCTGATTGCTCCCTCTGTGTATTTAAGCCCTGTGTTTCTTTGTGTCTGTGTTGTGATCTGCTCTCATTTATGCTGTGTGATCTGTCTGCCTGGTCATGTAAGTTTATTTGGATTTTTGTTACGTTTTGCCACTTTTTGCCATCCAGCAATAAAAGCTGAGTTTTGAGTTACTTTCCGCCTCCGAGTGTCTGCACTTTGGGTCCTTCTACTTCCACTTCTGCCTGCACACAGCCTTAACCTGACACCTGGCTCCTTTCAGTTTGAAAGAGTGACTCTGCTGTGAGCCCATTTCATGTTCCTCACCATATCTCTAAGGGAGAAATCAGACAACCTTTGGATCAAGCACATTTCCAACACCTGCTTGTCTAATTTCAGTCTTTCAGACATTCTCTGCAGATGCTGCACAGCTCCATGTGTCAGTTTCTTGCTTAGTATGTCCCTCAAGTAGTGATGGGCAGATGAAGCCCCATGAAGCACTGAAGCTTTTCATCCAATTGGTTCACCCCAACGCGAAGCTTCAT